CCAAACAAGGAGCCTGTGTTTAAACAATAGGGTGACATAGAGCACAGGGAGGAGGCATGGCATGCTTGTGTCCTCAGATATCACGCTGCCCTATAAAATCATACTTAAATACTTCTCTGGGGGGGGTGCTGAGCTATGGTCCCAGACTCACACTCAAATATTTTTATATGATCTGGGGAAATGCTTCTGTGTTCCATGAAACATACATTGCACACACACATACACACACAGAGATACACACGAACATCTCAATTATGTTAAAAAAAAATAATAGAGCAGGAGATACCCAAATTGCTAGAGTTCTCTTACCAGAGTAGAGTTAAAGGTATCCCCCACCATTTTCTTTAGTTCTTAACAAACTTTAATCAATTAGCACGCTACCTTTATGATTAGGAAAAACACATACTATGAAATTTACTTTATTAAATGAACAGAAAATAGGATGAAAAGAGGAAAACACTTAGAAACTTAACTGAGGATTTAATTTCTGCCTTTAAGCGATGTGAAAAGTGGGCCACGCAAGGACACTTGGGTGACTCAAGGCCAGCTCTGCCTGGGGACACCTTCGGCAGCTCAGTGGCCTGGGCGGGGCCCCTTCCCAGGAGGGGCCACGCCATGTATTGCCTTAGCCCCTTTTTATTGCTATACATCCTGGGCTAATGGAAAACTTTTATTTGTTGGTTTTTGGAGGACAGAGAGTTCACTGCTCTACTCAACCCACAGGAAAAACATTCATTGGCCTCATTTTCCCGGGCTTTCCCCTCTCTCTCTCTCTCTCTCTCTCTCTCTCTCTTTTTCATTTTGTGTCATTAGTAGAAGATTCTCTTATCTACTTGAATCAAATTCTCTTTTCTTATCTAATTGAAAGCCCAATTCCAGGTTTCCTAAATGAGAAAGGGGCTTTCCTAAATTAGAAAGAGTAGACTGAGGAAACACTTAAATACCACACATCTCACTCTAGTAATTGTACAGATTCATATGCAAAACTCTTCAATCACTGGTTAAATACAGCACCTCAGGTTTGGAACGGTCACATGAGACCCTTCCAAATTCAGTGCTCATTCAGAGCTGTCTGAACTAGCTGGAGTTATCATGGGAGGTCAGAAGAGTGGGTTACCTGGCATTACACAGAGAGCATCTTTCTTTGTTAAGTGAGCACAACTGTCTTCTAAAGTCTTCATAGCAATGTTCTTTGTAACACTTTACATGATATTAAAGTACTGTAACTTTCAAAAAAGTCCCCTAATTTTTTTTATATAATTTGTTAGACTTGGCTTTTAAGGAACTCAGGGACTTTGTACCGAATTTAGTTTTAAAGAGATAACAACAGTCCTTTGAACACAAAGGGATCAAATGGACATTTGGAGATACTTTAAAAGAAATGAATTAAAAAATATCTCAGCATTACTCTTTCCTTAGCAATCTGTACTGTTGTAATGATAAATACTGACTTCTAAGTAATTTTATTGTGAGTTATCAGTTGTTACGTATTTTCTTCCCCCGACGAAAGGCTATGCCAACTTTATTAACATAAGGTATGGTTCTGATTTAATTATTTGCATAATTCAGCTCTTCTTACATGAACTTCCTGGTTACAATGTCCCTTTCCTGGGAGCCATTTTATAATGTTTGTGCATCATTAAGTCTTTAACCCATTCCTGCTGGCTTGAACACCAGTGATACATGACTGACCGTCCCATTGGGCAGTTTACACCACTGGATGGAACTGTCCCTTGCCACCCAATGGGACAATCATTCATGTGCCACCAGTGCTTCAGAGACACATGAATTATCGCCCTGCTGTGAATGTGTTAAAGTTCAAGATACTAACTGAGCGGTGGTGCACACCTGGAATTCCAACGTTTGCGAGGCTGAGTCAGGAGGATCACCACAGGTTCAAGGACAGCCTGGGCTAAACAGTGAGACCCTGTCTCCAAAAAATAGAAAATAAAAAAAAGAAAAGAAATAAAAATAAAGTTCAAGCCAGGCATGGTGGTGCATGCCTATAATCCCAGAAGTCTGAGGGCCGAGGCAGGAGAACTGCCATGAGTTTGAGGCCAGCCTGGACTACATAGTGAGTTCAAGGCCAGGCTGAACTACATAGGGAGACTCTGTCTCAAAACAAATAAACAAACAAACAAACAAACAAACAAAAAAATAAAGTCCAGGATATGACAACTAAGATTAAATTCAGACCTAAACAGAATCTTAAAAGCTGGAACATATTCCGAAGTCTGTAAGATTCCTGGGCAAATGGCAGGGCATAAGCTCGATCACAGGAGGCAGACAGGTGAAGGGCCAAGGTGAGCATGAGCCTGAGCTTCAGCTCTGCCGTACACTGCCTGTGCTGTGGGCAAATGATCGACCTTACCCAGGCCTCAGCAGCTCGCTCTTCCCTCAGATCTAACACACGCTAAGTTATCAGGAGCATACAGTGGGAGCTCACCCAGTGAAAGGAAGCCATTCACACTTTACTTCCTCAAGCTGTAAAAATGGACAAGCGGTCAATTTTAGGTATAATTATCATAAAGCACTTTCTGCATCCGTGGGTTCCTACCAACATTATTTTCATTTCTTCCATAATAGATATATTCTCATTCTTTGCTATGCTGCTTATGCTTAATATTATAAAGCAGTCATACCAATCCATGTAACTTTTTTTTTTCATTCAACCCTATCCCCAACTTGTGAAATTACTGGCACAACTACACAAAAGAAGTAACAATAGGCTTTTAGAACAGGTACTCAGTAATATTTGGTTTTCTTCCTTGATTAGTCTATAAAATGACGGAGAAATCCATATGCAGTAGACAGTGCTGGCAAAGAACAGCAGGAGGCTCTGGACGTGGGTACCAGGCTTCTCTGTGGCCGTCCACACCAGGCTGGGAGCTCTGAGCTATTTATGCGCAGTCCCCTTCCACGGCCACATACACACAGCTTATTTCACTTTTAGCAGAATCCTGCACAGAGCAGGGTTCCCACTCTAAAAGTTCTGTCCACATTCTGTAAGGAAATCCTCAAGCTGATATTTACACTCATAGGAAATCATCTGAAAGATATTTAAAATGATTTTGCTCTCCTTTTGTTCTTGACAAGCCAGGGACTTAAAAGCTAATGAGGTGTTTTATTTTTGATTTTGCATTTCTTAATCACCTCCGAAGCATGTGAACCAGAGGCTGCGTTGCCTTTGTACTCCCCACGGTCCGCCTGGCACCCTAGGATTTGCAAATTACTGATATATGAATCATCGCTGACTACAGAGAGACCAACGCACCTGTCTGCTGGGTGGCTGGACTACATGTGCCCATCTGTCCTGGACTCCCTCCCCTAAGAAAACTCTTAGTGAAATAAAAACATTTTACCCCAATTGCTCTGAAGCACAGTAAATGGAAACGATACAATCTGCAAAGGCAGATCTAAGTTAAACTTCCGAAAACATGCAGCTCCTATCTGCAGATCCTGTCCTCCCTTGGCCTGAGAACGCAATCGCCTCCCACCGGAGGCCCTGAGAAAACGCGGTCTCCGCGGGCAAAGCGCAGGGTACCAATGCCCCCCGCAGGAGAGCCTGCAGCACTCCAATGGCAACGATGCCAAGGAGAAAACGTGAAACACCAACCCCAACTGTGCGCCCCTTCTTTAGTGATCCAACAGGGTGGGGGATCCCCAAGTACAGATACCCAGTAGCTGACTTAACCTGACACGTTTGGGATATCCCTAGTCCTTAACTAGACTACAAAAAAAAAAAAAAAAGAAAAAAAAATTTAAAAATTAGAAGTACCAGGGACATCAACTTGGAGACATTCTACGACATCCCCCCATCACTACCCAGCACTTAGACTACTAGAAACTACACGTTAGTTATGGACCTGAGATTTACATAATCACAAATTACATAATATTCCTCCTATGCACTACAACCCTTCTGTAGGTGAAGTTCCACACCACCCAGTTTTTCATCATTTTCTAGAGAGAGCTGGAAAAGTCTCCTGAATCACTGAGAGGCGAAGAGGGAATGGGGTGTTGGAAAAGTGATCCCTGACAAGCTGCAGACCCCATCGACTGCTCCAGGATGGAAGGGGGGTGGTGGCAGGTGACTCCCCGCTGCCCATCTCCTGGAGCCCGGCTGAGGCCGAGGCAGGGCGAGCAGAAGCCGGCTACAGGGCCGAGGTGCGGGTGGGCACGGGGCACCCGGGCTTACCTGCTCCCCGAAGTCGATGGCTATGTTGGTGATGCCCAGGGGCACCAGGAACCGGATCAGGGGCCAGTAGTGCGTGAGCGCCGGGAATTTCACCATAGTCCTCGCCGTGGGCTGACCCCACACACATCTGCCGCCGCGAGGGGACTCGGCGAGGAGGCGAGGGGCGAGCGGGGGCGCGGGCGGCGGAGG